AAACGCCATAATTTCGCGGACCAAATGTACTGGGCGAACTTATGGCGGCGGACTTATGTCGCTATGCCCAAATGTTCGATATATTTTGCGAAAAAAAATTATAACTTTGCTGTTTTTCAATATTTTTGCACCATTTTTTAGATGTGGCCATTATATATTATTTCTGAATTGGTAAAAATTTTATGAAAATCGGACGACTATATGATATAGCTGCCATAGGAACGATCGGGAAATTAATAGGAAAAAAATTATAGCTTCGTTGTTTTTCAACGTATGTTTATCTACTCTGAGATATAAGCTTTTTTTATTATTCTAGAATTTTGGTATAAATTTTATAAAAATCGGACAGCTATATCATATAGCTGCCATAGAAGCGATCGGTAAATGTATAAAATATGTAAAGCTGGGAATGTAAAACTGTAACTGTCAAACTGTAAACATAATAAGTATAGGTAAAATGTAATGAAACACTGTTTTGTGAGTCTTTTCAGCATTTAAATCTATAATATAAACATCGAAACCAATCTGAAAGGGTATACAAACTTCGGCGTGCCGAAGTTAGCTTCCTTTTTTGTTTTCTAGTAAAATCTTACGGAATTGAGAGATTACAGTTTCATAACACAATCTCTACAATGAAAAAAAAAAAAATTAAAAATTTAAATTTATATGTTTTATTTGAGTTCGCGGTAAAAAGTTGCTTAAAATGTACAAAAAAAATTTGTTTGATTAGTCGTCTTTTATTTTAAAGTGGTTGTCAGAATCGGGGAATTTCTATTATTTTCAATATTTCAATATTCCATTAGTTCTGTTCGTCTCGGCCACGCAACCAAATCTCGTCTACCGTACCAAGCTTTTTATCCTTCCTCTTCCTCACACTTCCTTACTTTCAGTCAAACTTCCTTACTTTCACTCAAATTTTTCAGTCTAGTTGTCTCACTTACCCTTGGTGCGGCATTATCTGGCTTTATCCTATATATAGTGATGGTAGTGATGGAAATTTAATGAGACTAGGGCAATAGGGGTATAGGGGTAGGTACTTGGAAACGCGAATGATGCAGTGAGGAGAGTAACGATTATAAAGCATGGAATGTCAAAAACAATGATGCACAGATCGGCATCATATGCATATGATGGAGCGCTTACGACAAGGTAGCTGTTTGTATGAGTGTTTGTTAGTGTGAGTTGGCTTCGATGCCTGGCAAAATAGCACATAAACTAATTGCCTTGTTTGTGTCGCACCCAGCACTTGAACTAGGTGGACTGCAGTTGGAGGAGTAAAGATCTCTTTGAATTGCAGATGATTACTGACTTTATTGATTCAAACTTAACGATATTTATAGCTAACAAATGTGCTTGCATTTGCGAATATTAATGATAAAGAATAATGTAGGTTAGTGCTAGTAGGCTAGTGCATGCGGAAACAAATATGATTCTGGTTACAAATATTGATGTGCAAGAATAATGTAGGTTGTAATGGTATATGCAGAATGAGGCTATTGCTCCATCCCACTTCATCGCGTCAGCAGAATCTACATATGCGCTTGACCTGGTAATCGATACTTTATTTTGGCAGCATATGAGAATGCTGCGACTGACGAATTACAGATTATGTATTGTTATGATTATGAATTATATATATACTGTAGGGACTGAACAGTAGCCAAAGGAAGGCAAATCTTTTTTTTTCATTTTTATTTTTCTTTATTAATACCTAACTAGCAGTCATGTAGACTGGTACAGAGTAAATTGTCCTGACTAACTAAGACGGCGTCTGCTGGAATCCCGAATAAAGTCCCTGTTAGAGGATTTGGATGGGCAGAGAGATTTTCCTTGTAAGACGCTTTTTGTTTTTCTATTTCATTCTTAACTGCGAGAATGCCAATATCCTTGTGGATGTTTTCATTGCGAATATACCATGGTGCCCAGTGACCTTGTAGTCCAGGCACAGGGGCGATCGGGCGTTTATGAGCCAGTGGAGGCTGCTGGCTTTTGGTTTTAGATGAGGTTTCTTGCATTCAATATGTCTTCGCCATGTTAGGCCAGGTCCAGGTGGACGCCCAGGTTCGTTACCACGTTGACTTCGGGGATCTGCGTGCTGTTCAAGTAGAGCGGAGGGCATGTTTGTCTGTTGAGAGTGAACGTTATGTGCTTACACTTTTGTTCATTTATTTTGATACGCATGTCAGATAGTTACTTCTCGACGACCTTGAGGATCGCAGTGTCGTCGGGGAAAGTGGATAATGTTAGCTGGTCGCTTGTGGGTATATCCGCTGTGTATAGGATATATAGGGTAGGCCCAAGCGCCTACCTTTGATTGAATAGGTGCCAGATGAAGTTGCGTTGCACCTCACTGCGATCACTCTGTTGTAGAGATACGACTTCAGTAATTTATGCGTGTATACAGGCAAAAGTGTGTGCTTGAGAAACATCGAGAAGTATCGGGCTGAAATATTCTCAATGCTCGAAGGCTGTGCGAATTTCTAATGTTATTCTGTTATTCTATAACTTGCTCGTTAGTTCCGTGCTTTTCTCTGAAGCCAAATTGATGAGCTGGGATAATGCTGTGATCTCCCAGATGAGGAATTATGCGCATTAGGAGGCTTGGACAAGCATCATGGGAAACTTATTGGTCGGTAAGATGACGGAATCGTGTGGTCTTTCCCGGGCTTCGGAATCATTATAATTATAATTTTTTTTCCATTTTATTAGGTAGTGGCGTTTATTAAGTTGCGTGGGATTTTTTTTTGTCACCGCGAAGTCAATTAGATCAGGTATGTTTCTGGGGTCTGCTGGCCAATATGTGGGGCTACCAGGGAACACGTAGTCCAGTTTATTTCTCACATTGATGAGAGCGTTATACAGTTGTCTTCCCTTGGGGGTCACGAGGCGGGATCCCCAATGCGTATGCTTGGCGTTGTAGTATCCTGCAGCTATGAAACGATCTCCAAGAGAGTTGTAAAAAGCCATGAATTGGGCTTCAAAGATTGTAAAGCAAGGGGGGCAGTAGACAGCGGCAATGCAAAGGTTGCCGTTACCTGACTGCACTTTTATGAACGCTTGCAAGTAATTATGGTAGCTTCCAAGTAATTTGTTGCAAACCTTTGCTGAAAATGGAGCTTGATGCGTTCTCTGATAAGGATCCCGCCGTGGGCTTTACCATCTGGATGATCTGTGCGGTGGATTGTTGTATCTGCTTGTGAGGTGCGTTTCAACCAATACATGCTATTGGTTGATATGGTTTACATTTAGGAATTGTGTTAATTCACGTTTATGCCGTAAAAGACCTTTGGCATTCCACATGGATATACGTAGATTGGACATTGATTATTTCGACTGTTATGCAACAAGCAACTGTATCACCATATTCTGATTCTGGACAAGTGTTCGCATAAATGACGTTTTCATAAATGACATGAGTTCCATCATACTTTGTTGCATAGTCACCATCATAGATTCCGGAATTGTCTCAATAGACCGCATTTGGTTCTTCCACGGTGATCCTTCGATGCAATAAGAACTACAACTTTTAGATCGGGTGAACTTAATTTTTCTTTAGGGCTTTACTGTCTGGCTCAAGTTCGACGCTAAAAAGTTGTTACGGCTTTTTGTTTTTGTTGATAATGTGGCTGTTTTGCTTAGTTGTTCTCATTAGCTGCTAGCGGGGAAAATCTGTTGTTGTTGGTTGGGTCTGATCTTTTCATGATACGGTTGATCTTAGGTTTCTTACCAACCGTGTTATGTGGGCTGAGTTTACGCTTAATCTGGATGTAAATCATTTCCAAAAAAGATTTTAGATACTTAACAGTCGTGACATTGTTCGGAGAGAAATTTATAAATGCGTCTGCTACAAATTGAATCCCTGGGTAACAAACCTGTCAACAAAATTGTATCGATTATGCTGGCCTTTCAACATACCACTTTAAAAAGATGGAGTCGGACTTCAGTTAAAGGTTACATTGCAGTTTTTTGTCCGTCTTCCAAACAAGGGCATTTTTCTGGAAGCACCATGAGATGTGAAATCAACACTATTTAATGGAGATCTGCGGCGATTCATCGGTTCGATTGTGGCACGAAATTCGAAAACTACAAGGCGATAAGATGACATTAAAGAAGCATATTGAAACAACCATTCTGTTCAAGATGACAGATTAAGGGATAATTATGGGTGGCGGAAGCCAAATACAACCTATAAAGATCTATTGAGGATCATAAGATGACATTGCTTGTTAGCCCGCTTGTTTACACTCTCCCATGTATTTAAGACCATTTAATGGAATTAACCTCTTTTCATTTCTTTGTTGCAAACTCTCTCCTCGCCATCCCAACAGAACAAAATGAAAAACTTTGCCTTACCAAGCGATGGACATTTGCTTCAGCTATTTCGGAAGTGTTGGTTTTTATATTACATACCGCGCTTATAAAGGAGAAAGTTTTACTGGCTGGAGATTGTAGTAATAGTCGTTAAAGATGAATATCTTATCTTATCTCAATTTATCTTATCCGGGCTTTATACCGACTTGCTGAAAAGGTAATCGACAATGTATATGCATTCCTCTCACATACTTATGGTTTCGAATGGGCGCTCTCCGGTAATGCCGATTTTTATACTATAGGTATATATTTTCAATACGGTGGCCCAAAAACTGAATAATTGTTTGTGGAGATACAACTAGATAGAACTGTAGATCAAATCAGCTGTTATAGCTGATCAGAAATACATATATTATGTAAGGTATGAAATAATTGCTTAAATACCTAATATAAAATTGAGTGCAAGGGTATACAAAGTTGTGTGATTAAAATGTTCTTTAATTTAAAAGACTGTGTTTTAAACTCGGATTATTTCTTATCAGTTTTTTATATTTAAATTTATAATCCGTGTTCAAAGTGATATCAATACAATTTATTTTTCATATATTAAGTCCATTAGTTAAGATCTCTTTACATATTACATTTTAACTCCTCTTTTTCTCGCTTGTAAACTATTTTTATATTTTTAGGGTTCATATGGTCTCGTGAAGTTGGCTTATTCTGAAGAAGACTCTACACATTATGCAATGAAAATTCTTTCAAAAAAGCGCCTCTTACGACAAGCTGGACTCATGCGCCGTGGTCCAAAAAAAGCAATATCTCCACTTGATCGGGTTTACAGAGAAATAGCTGTTTTAAAAAAGCTAGATCATCCAAACGTCGTTAAACTGGTTGAAGTATTGGATGACCCACTGGAGGACTCTTTATATATGGTTTTTGAATTGGTAAAACAAGGAGAAGTATTAAGTATCCCAACCAATAGGCCATTGTCGGAAGAAAAGGTCCTGAGTATTTTTCGCGATTCTTTACTTGGATTGGAATATTGTGAGTTTAATATGATTCGAAATAATTTATTTTTGCGCTGCAGATATTTTGCATTCATTTTCCTTTTCCCTAATGACTTTTTAGCTACATAGCGCAAGAAAACTGTAAAAACTTTTATATCTGTATTCCCTGAAATATACTATAGCTTCTGGAATTTCGGTCGACAATACCGTATTTGTGATTACGCTTATTAAATATAAAAGATTTAGTTTATCGAGCAGATTTTTTGAGATGACGAATTGCAGGATATACAAATTTAGGCAATATAATGATGATAGTGGTGGAGAAAGAAGGTATGGAAGCAATCGTGGATGCCGCCTATGGAATGAGGCTGAATGAGTCCGACGAAGGAGAGGACGATGACCTGACCGTAATGGAGGTGAGCCCAGTACCAATGACACTCAGGGTGTTGCAGCTCAACCTCCATAAGAGCAAGGTCGCGTCGGCGGAACTCCTCATAGCCATGGAGCAAGGATCCGCCGACATAGCTTTGGTACAGAAGCCATGGATCGCCTCAGGCAATGCCATCACCCGAAGGACCAGCAACTGCACGTGGGTGCAGACGCCAACGCGCACCACTGCGTATGGGGGAGCCCCGAAATAAACGACAGAGGTGAATCACTCTTAGACTTTATACCAGAGCCGCACTTTGGGCACCAGTCTTCCGCATCGTGGCCAAAGCGCTTCAGGTACTGGCGGAAGCATCCGTGGCCGCTAAGCACCTGGCTGAGGTAGAAGCTCACCTGTCCATGCGCCCTCTCTACCCATCGCGCTAGGTCTGGGATGAGTCTGTGCGTCCAACGGCCTTTCGAAGAAGAGTCCCATCGAGATTGCCAGTTCTCCATGCTCCTTCTTCTGGCGGCAAGTTTCACCTCGGCTTTGGACAGCGGTGACCGTAGGGATTCAGAGACCTCCTTCCTCTCCCGAATGAACTCCGTCAGTGGGACTTGCCCTGCGATAACTAGTGCCGCGTCCTCCGAAATTGTCCGGAACGAGCATGCGATCCGAATGGCACACAGCCGGTAGGTCGCCTCCACTCCTCGCATGTAGCTTTTGAAGGCTGCTGCTTTGGCCCATACTACTGTCAGTCACTACTGACGATAGCAGTTTCCTAGAAAACTGCTTCGGCCCTCTCATGTTCGGCAGCATTCTGGAGAGCGCTCCTACCGTCCCACGCCTTCACGGAAGCTATCTCCTTCGCTGCCAAAACGATAGCGACGTCGTCCGCAAAGCCAACCAGGCTAGTGCTGGCAGGCATCGGAAGTCTCAGTACGCCGTCATACACCAGCGGCTTCGATAGCTTCGCCCAACCAAGTTGAGATCACGCTCTCGAAGACCTTGCCAACCGTGTCCAGCAGAAAAATTGGCCTATACGACGATGCCTCACCTGGTGGCTTGCCTGGCTTGGGCAGCAGCAGAAGCCGTTGCCTTTTCAACCTGTCGGGGAACGTCCCCTCCACGAGGCACTTGTTAAACAAGCAGGCCACCTCAGTCGCCAGCAGCGATAGAGATAGCTAGGTTGCTCTGCTCGGAATGGCGTCCAGGCCCGGCGCTTTCTTAAGTGTCAGGCTTCTACCGGCCTGGAGAACCTCAGCTTCCGTAACCCAGCGGATGTCACCCATCTCGGTACTGGGGCAGATCTCGACCTGCCGTCCGATAGGGAACAACGTGCCGAATATGCTCTCCAGTGTCGCCGGTTCAGTTGGGGCACTGCCACCCGCATTGAGCCTCTTCACCACCATTTTGTAGGCTCCTCCCCAAGGATCCTCATCGGCGGCGTCACAAAGCTTGAGGAAGCACTCGCGTTTGCTGTTCCTTATGGCAATCTTCAGCTCCTTCCTTGCCACCTTGTAGCGATCGTTGCACATAAGAAAGCGCGGGGTGCCTCTACCACGCTGCAACAGCCTTCTGCTTCGGAGGCATTTGCGGCGAAGGTCAGCGATCTCCTCGCTCCACCAAAACACCAGGCTTCCTCTGTAGCATGCTTTGGTTGCACGCGTCCTCTACAGCAACCGCTAGTTTGTTGGCCGACTCGTTGGCTCCGTCACACTCACCTGCCGCGAAGCCCTCGAGAGCGTTTGCAAAGGCCCTTTTTTTTTTTTTTTTTTTTTTTATTTAAAAGATATAAGTATAATACATAGGTAGTAGAGTAAGAAAGAGAAGTGTCCGCTCCCGCGGGACTGCCGCAAAGCTATACTTCACGGGGCGGCTGGCGGTCAGTTGCCGCTCTTCAGGGCTCCGCTCTTCCGGTTTCCTTCAGGTGTCTTCAGTGCGTCGGATCTGCTCCCGGCGTCTCATCTCTCGCATCACGGTGGCTGCCATTTCCGCAACCGCATCCCAATTGGAGGGCATCTCTAGCATACATCTGATTAGATTTTCTGGTGTAAGGCGACGATTCGTGGCTGCTTCCAGCGCAGCTCGTTCTGCCGAGAATAGAGGGCACGCGAAAAGACATGCTCCGCATCCTCGATAACTGCGCTACCGCAGTAGTCGCAGTATGGATTGGCTTCGTGCTTGAACCTGTGCAGGTAAGCCTTAAAGCATCCATGGCCAGTTATGATCTGCGTGGTGTGAAAATCCAACTGCCCAGTGCGACGCTGGATCCAGGGTACCAGGTCAGGGATGAGCCGATGGGTCCATCGGCCTGTGCTCGCGTTGTCCCATCTCACTTGCCACCGTGCGATAGTGTCACTCCGTTGGGTTCTGCTGCCTGAGTTTCCGGTCCTTCGCTCTTCTGCCAGAAGTTCGATCGGTACGGTTCCCGATACCACTAGCGCCGCCTCTTCCGAGACCGTGCAAAAGCAACTGGAAATTCGCAGTGCACAACGTCTGTAAACAGACTTGCATTGCCGGCTGTAGCTAACGGTCTTCATGGCTTCAGCCCATATAGGCGCGGCATACAGGATGGTCGAGGTCACCACTGTCGCTATCAGTCGCCTGCTGTGCTGCTTGGGGCCACGGTTATTGGCCATCATCCTCGAAATGGCAGCAGTAGCTTTGGATGCCTTGGCCGCAGCATATTCCAGATGGGTCTTGAAGTTCAGCCTGTGGTCGATCATTACTCCCAGGTACTTGATCACCGGGGTGGACTCAATGGTAGTCGAGCCGACCCTGAAGCTCACCTTCTCTACTATTTTTCTGCTGCTTATGAGCACTGCTTCCGTTTTGTGCTCGGCCAGCGAGAGCCCGTTGTCTGCGAGCCAGGACATCAGTATGTCGATGGCGCGGCTGCATTTTGTAGAGACTTCGGTTAGGTGCTTCTCCACCGTGACCAGTGCGATGTCGTCAGCGAACCCCACTACCGCGCAGCCAGGTAGTAATGGGAGCCTGAGAACCCCGTCATACATGACGTTCCACAGGATAGGCCCAAGAACTGAGCCTTGCGGTACGCCTCCTGTGACTTGGTGCTGTTGGTGGCTGGCATCAGATTCATATAGGAGCACTCGGTCTTTGAAATAGTCGGCTATTAACTTAATCAGGTATCCAGATATGCCAGCGCGCTGCAATGCCTGCAGGACTAGGCTCCAGTTTGCCGAATTAAATGCATTTTTGACGTCGAGGGTACATACAAGGCAGTATTGCTTAGTGCCACCCTGCCATCTTTCGCCTTCGATCGCATTTGCTGCAAGCTGGGTCACTTCTCGGATCGCGTCGATTGTGCTTCTCTTCTTTCGGAACCCATGCTGGTGGCCCGAGAGTGCTCCGCGTTCCTCGATTTCTCTCTCCAGTCTGCTGCAGATGATGCGCTCAAATATCTTCCCCAATGTGTTTAGCATACAGAGGGGTCGGTATGAGGAAGGATCGTCGTTCAGTTTACCAGGCTTCGGGATAAGCACAAGTCTTTGTTGCTTCCAAATTCTCGGGAAGGTACGCTCGCCGATGCACTTGTTGTACAGCTCTGTGAATAGGCTCGTATTTGCTCTGATTACGGCGTGCAGTGCCGCGTTTGGGATGCCATCTGGTCCCGGGGCCTTGGATATTTTGCTACTGGCCACCGCGCTCATGACTTCCTCTTCGCTGATGGTGATAGCTTCGCTCGCCGTTATGCTGGGTGGCATTAGGGGCGGCTGTGCAGGGAAGAGGGTGGAGATTATCGCTCCAAGCTGCTCCTGAGCTGTTGGGGTCGGCTGTCTGTTGAGCTTACCCATGACGAGCTTGTAGGCAGATCCAAAAGGTTCCTGGTCCGCCTCGTCGCACAGCTGCTGGAAGCACTCCCGCTTGCTTGCTCTAATGGCCACCTTTAAGGCTTTTTTTCTTTCCCTGTAGCGAGCCTCAAATAGCTCCTGCATGGGCCGTCCACGGCTTCGTTGGCACCTGCGCCTCGCAGAGATGCACTCTTTCCTGGCTGTGGCTATCTCTTGGTTCCACCAGGGGACTGGTCGCCTTCCTTGTCCTCTAGTCGAGCTCTCCATTGCCGCATCGCAAGCTGTCTTGATCCTCGCAGATACCTCGTCTGCGCAAGTGTTTGCGTCGCCAGAAATGGTATTGCCATCCATGTTTTCTAGGAGTTCCTCGACATTTAGAGTGCCTACTTTGTAGGCAGGTTGCCGATTCGGAAGGCTCGGCAGGGAGTGACTCGTCTTTATCACTATCGCTGCGTGGTCCCTGTAGGTGAGGAGGTCAGTCACTTCCCAGTAGACGCTCCTAGTGAGCTCCGGGCTGGCGAAGGTTAGGTCGATAATTGATTCTCGGCCTGCCTTGCTGTATGTGCAGTTGCCTCCGTCGTTGAGAAGGCAGACATCCAGGGTCGCCAGGGCATCTAGTAAGGCGGTTCCCCTCTGAGTTGTTGCCGTGCTCCCCCACGTGGTGGACCATGCGTTGAAGTCCCCGGCAATTATTACCGGGGATCGTCCCCGAGCGTCTTGGGCAATCTCCTGGATTACATCCTTGAATGCATCTATGTGCATACTTGGCGGAAGGTAGCAGCTGTATATTGTAGTCGCCTGGCACTTGGCCCTGGCGTAGCCAGGTCTCGAAGCTCTCTGCGATAGGTGTTCCGG